TCAAAACAGTGCCGACGCTCGTTTCTGTGACCGCTGCGGCACGAAAGACCCCTGTGTCGTGAGCTTTCCGCTGCCGCCGCAGCAGCAACAACAGCTGCCGCCAATGTCGCCGCCAATGAATTTCACCGCCTACAATACCAACCTCAACTCCTCTGCGGTCAATCTTCAACAGCCCCCGAGGGCCTACTTTGACCCAGCAATGGAGGCAAACCATCTGCTGCATTCGCAAGCTACTATGAGCTATCAACCGCAAAGGCTTTCCCAGCCGGTTCTAGGGGCCGATAACCTCATGTGCACCAAGTGCTTCTCTGTGAATACAGTTGACAGTCGGTTTTGTGTTCGCTGTGGTACCGCGTTTGGCCCTGCACTGCCAGCAAAAACCTCGATTTTCGCGATGCCTTCAGGTCAGATGCCTGCATATTGCATTGTTAGCTTAATTGTGTGCACTTTTGAAGCTGTTGCTACTACTACCGGCAGCTGTATGTTCACCTTAAAAAACCCCAGCTAGAAGGACAAATTTCGGTCCGTTTATGCGCGATAGTTGTGGTTGCAGTGAATGACTGATCTCATGCAAAATTGGCGGACATTTTGAAATGTTTGAAGATGTTCTTGGGCTGCGTGTGTCTCAGTTTATACGAATTTTGAAATGTGTTTAAGATTCAGACGAACTACTTAAGTGGGGTTCAAACAGCAGCTATCACGGAGGATAGTGCAGATAAATTCTGAACATACTAAGATGTCGGCTTTTGAATGTATGCCTTTTAGGCTACCTACGAAAACTGTGGTCGTGGGTAGTATGCCTTTTGGCCATTGATTTCCACTGCTCTTAGCAACTCAACCATTTTTTAGACGAAACATGCACGAAAATCTCCATTCTGGGCCCCATTGGACAGCCAATGTCTTCCTAAATGCTCATCCACCCATTTCTATTCACTAATGCTCCCCATGGCGTATACAGCGAAGTTGACGCCCATTGACATGTTTTATGAAAGTAACATCGTATCCTCTTAATAGTGTAGATACATTTATTATTTTAACCACTCAGTTTGTAGACCGGAAACAGCTGGGGATGATACATTATTGGGGAATTGGAAAACGTCTTTTTTAAACTAGATGTCCCATTCCCTGCAATATAAAATAGATGTGGTGATTTGCTATTAAATTAGTAAAAGATGACATGGAACCGACAAACAAAAGGGGGACTGGAATGGCTATTTCTACCTTGTTAGCCGTCATCATCCAGTCATACCCAATCGCAGGTTTACGACACCCAAGATTCGGACCCGGGATCTTTAGTCATATTCTACGCTCTCCCGTTGCACCAGGGGCTTGTTGTTTTCGTCGCTTGCGATCGTGAATATTATGAATGTTAGGGCCTTCACCGATCTGGTTAAGCTTCCAGTTCATCGCATACTACAGGTCGCTATTAGCCTGCCTGCGAGGACTGGAGGAGCAGGTTCTGTAATCAGATCGGTTAGTGGTCGTTTCGACAAAATGGAGGTTCCCCCAAGTCAGAAGGCGGGAATGACTGATTAGGTTGGACAGTGTGTACTGTGAGAAAGAGCTTCTAAAGTGCTCTTCAGACAATTGTTGCTCACAATCCTCTCAGGCCGGCTGTTAGTGGGCGCCTGTGCGCACGGGATTTCAGGAAGCTGGGAATTTAACTTTGTTGCCTGAATGTCCTGTTACTGCTGTTCTGGGCTTTGTGACAACGTTCTGATATTCCCTATAGGTCCACCAGAGCCGAGAAAACGGACGCTCTCCAGTATCGGTACTCAGACAACCGGTATCTACTACCAAAGCGCGAATGATCTTCGAAGAGCTCTTTCCGACGTACAACTACTGAATAACCTGAAGAAGGACATTCGAACTCGGGCTAGGCTGTTGGCACCCATCAGCCCTGGACGAGGTAACCAACCTTTTTAATTTTATACCCGCCAGCGGCCCCTGTTTACACGTTAGTATCACTGTGAACTTTAGTGGTAGAAAAGCATGGAGACTGTATATTATGCTCCCTAATGAACGCTTACCGATTGCTAAGCGAATTTTATCGTCCCATTCTGCCTTGGGGTTCATTTTAGAACCCCGCTAGAAGCCGCACAAAGACTAGTAGTCTAGGCTGATAGGGTTGCTAACAAAGACAAAGGAGACTGGAATGCGGCCATTTCTGGCTCATTAGCCGTCAGCAGCCAATCCTTCACAACCCCAACTGGTGCAGCACCCGAGGCTGGAACTGGCGGCTTGTTGATCAGAAATCCAATGCGCTAACCACTGAGCTACGAGCTCGTTTCATTGCCGAATATTGACACTCGTTGATGGACGTTCACCGACCGCTATAGGAACTCATTCGCCTCGACCTAAGTCGGCCAGTCAAAGAGCTCGTAGCTCAATGGTTAGAGCGTTGGACTTCTGGTCGAAAAGGTTGCGAGTTCGAGCCTCGGGTGGGGCACCATTTGGGGTTGGATTTGACTGACTGACGGCGGTTTATGAGCCAGAAATAGCCGTTCCGGCCTCTGTACTCCTTGCCATCCACATAGTGGCAGCTGCCAAAACACACCAGTTTAATTTGCTCAAAAATCATGTAAAAGCAGCTACTACAGCTTTGTCTTACATACACGGGCACGCAATCGACACTTGCTCTGATTTTGCCAGCGGCCACTTGCTCTTGTTCGCACACC